CTGTTTAGTTATTTATCTGATGAATGTACTCTGCCAATGCTATGAAGTAATGATTTTATCAATATATTAAGATTCCGAAAATCTTTACCATCGTTTGAATCAATTAGCCAATCAACTAATAATAATTTAGTTAATCAAAAGGATAAAATATTCTATGAACAATGAATAGCATATCTTTTGTAACGATAATGAAAATTATGAAAACTATAATTAACATCGTTTAGAATATTGTAACAATGATCAGAGGGTAAAACATATTTCCGTACGTGGAAAGTACGAAAAATTACAGAGAACTATACAGGGCATGGAAGTATGCTGACGCACGAGGAAGTATAAAATACCGAGAATTATGATGAAATACTAGGAAGAATGACGAAGCACGAGGACATACAATGAAGGAAGAACATGCACTAGGAAATATGAAACACGACTGATGACAGAGAATACGAGGAACTGAAAACATAGGAAAAACGATAGGAGGACAGAATTATGCTTTTTTTTCTTTTGAACAGTGAAAACAACCAACGCTTACGTTTAATATCAAATACATCGCAAAAAATATTGTCACAACGCTATAATCGAGATTTATGAATTTCTATGTGAATCTATTCCTAATCAAATCAAAATATGAAATTATGTTTTAGCAATTTTCTGGATTAACATTAAAATATGACGAAAATGGCTAACTCATTTTTGATAGAATTATCAAATTAATAGATCAAAACGAATATTTATAATTAACATCACACATATAACTTCAAGTACTAATGAGGCTTTATTTCATAGCTAACTAATGAAAAATAAATTTTTATATGCACGCTTAAAGTATCGATATTTTTTTCTGCGAAAATTAGAAGTATCGATGCGTCACGAGTGCAATCAACAAAGAGAATAAAATTAATTATAGTCTATTTTTCTATTGCTTATAGTTATAAATAAACATTTGAGTTTAGCTGTTCCATCAAGTTTCAATAATTGTCCATTATTTTATCTTTTTCTTTTCAGCAGATAGAAACATTATTTTTGTTCGCTTCTTGAAGATTGAAATACTTGAGAGCGCGCGGCCGCCATCGACAGCAGTGTTATAAACATGTTTGTCATCACTTCTAATTTTGCACTTCTTATTGATCCGTTTCCCTTTAATCCTTATCCCCAAAAATCGATTGAGACGAAAGTATCAAGTGCAGATGATACTCACGCATCGTTGATTCTATATATATATCAGAATAGAATTTGTTCTCTGTGGTGAACGATGACCCATGGGATAAAAAATTAAGGTATATTCACTGCGAAACGCGTTAATGCTGACCGATTTAACGTGTTTCGCAGCGTTTCCTATGGTAACACAGGCGTAAAGCCAATCTTCCGATTTACTCAAAACGCGTTTGGGAGTCACTATATCAGGATGGAAACGAAACGTATATCATCTCGCGGCATTTTAAATCGATTCACCAGCTGCGGAACGCATTAAACCGGTCAGTATTAACGCGTTTTGAAGCATTGAAAAATAACAAAATTTTTCCCATGGGGAGAATCGCAACTTTTACGTTAAAAGTTATGCAGGAGAAAGAGTAAAAATCAATACGTAAATTAAACCCAACACGGTTCCTTTCTAAGAGGAGGTATTTTTCTGAAACGGTTTCAGCACACGTCAACAAAAAAATCTTGCACATTTTGTTTGCATGAAGAACGTGCAAAAATTGATCGCCAGAATAAGGCTCTACTGTTGAAGTGGATTGAGTTTGTTGACTGAATGCTGTCATGTGGGTTCTATTATGTTTTTATTCACTATTTTCATTTTTTCTTCGTCTAATATGTGCAGAAAAGGCCAAAATAAATATGTCGAAACAGAAAGCATTTAGAAAAGCATTCAACGAAAAACATTGGGGGACCAAAAAGGTAAAAAGCCTACTCAATGATACTCATGTTGCAAGAAAAAGTACTGAGATTAAAAAAATATCGAAAATTTAGAAGATGTTATATATAAATAATTTATTACTAGTTTATGTTCTATTAGTGTCTAAGATTGACTTATAGGATTTTTTCATGAAGATTCATTGTACAGTGTGATTCCTAAGATAAAAAGCTAAATAATCATTGGTCAGGTATAGAATATTCGTAGCAAATCTCGATCGAAATAAGTCAATCTATTGCATTTTAATGTGTTTAGCAACGTTTTCAGCGTGAGTACCATTCGATGTTTGGTTTTTCACGTTTTCGATTTTTTAACATACTTATTCTTTCTTTTTTCTTCCATGGCAGTTCTTGTTCTTTTCATTTATTTATTTCTATCGTGCTGCGATTTTGCTTTCGTTTTTTTTACAGCTTTTCTTTAATTATTCTTCTTGCCAGCATCGGCAAAAATATTATATTGTAGCCTAGTGCCGTATTGATGAGAGTTTTACATATACTGTTCTTATGTTTTACTCGCTGTGATTCCAAACTAGAGTTCCAGATGTCTGTGCGCGTGTTTGCGAGTGTAGCAGTAAAGAGTCTATTAAAAAAAAACAATGCCTACGACCAGTCGAGCATTTTACCAAGCGTTTGAACTTAATGATATTTGGCGTTCGCGAATGGAATAGTATCTTTCGATGTAATCTTATTTGTATCAAGTCTAGTGCTGTTTGAGTTCGGGGGAGAATCTATCAGTGTTTAGGTTTTAGGATTGATTGATGCTATGGAATTTATCTGAAGCTATTTATCGATAGCATATAGTACTTTGTCACTGTAATGCAATATTAATGATATTCAAAGAGGTTAAACTCTTTCTCTTAACCGGTAGCTCACTCTGAGTGTTTTTCTTGTCTTCAGTTCAATATTTTCGTCTAATAATATAACATATAGCGAAAATTTATAGACGAATTTCAGTAAATTCCAATAAATTTCAACAAGATAAGTTCTGAAAGCTGTGTTTTTACATATTCGAAGGATTGTTCGGATTAGAGTATGCAGAAATCATTTTATGCTCAGTCTCTGTTAACTTTCAGCTAACAGGTTTCGAAACTACATTTAAATACATCGAGGCAAGTGGCAATACTTTAATAAATTAAATAATTTAGCGAATAATTTAATTATATTTTACACACCACTCCTCCATGAGAACTCTTATAATGGAAGAGCTTCTGATACCGTATCTTTTACTTTAGAAGGAAGAGTTCTGCCCACAACTGTCCAAAATCAAGCAAATGAGTTCATCTAAAATGTTATTTAGCCGAAGATATTTCTGATTGAATTGAGAAATATTCTCTTTCGGTTTCTGTTTGTTTTGAGTTTTTAAAAGCTCGACCTGTATCCATTTCTAAGGCATACTATATATGATGTCACATTCAACGATAGAAGATTTTGTCGATAAATAAGAACAGTAATTTCAACACGATTAGCTCATTGCCAATGTAACAACTGTTTCAAGATTACCAAAGCATAAATTAAATCAGGACACACATAATGTAAAACCGAGCAAAAAATATTTTCAAACTAATTATGCTTATGCTCAGTTGATTTGAATTAGAGATTACAACAAGGATCATCAATACAATACCAAAGCACGCTTGAAAGTACGTATTTTTAAAGCCGCGCATTCATTCTATGCTTTAAAAACAGAACTTCCTCATTTCTCAATGTATTCATTTCAATGACTCATGCGCAAGATGAAAGATTGGAAATCCTAATCATACATGAATGCCCACAAATATAATTCATAGACATGAGACGATTCCTAATAGAGAATATCACATGACCAAATTCTGTTATTCAAACAATACCAATGATGTATTTCGAACAAAGGAAGCAACATATTCGAACTATCGTTTCTTTGATTAGAAAAGACTTCAATCTAGCACGTTTGAGCATAAATTTACCCGATCAATGTTAAGGATCACTGAAATCATATTGTTCAGTGGCATACTGAAGAGAATGATCGAGCACATCCAATGAACTTTCATATATTAGCTATCAACAAAACCGACGCGTATCATCCATCTCTGATTCAATTACGATAGTTGGGAGTGATATTTTTATGGCTGTTTGTTGGTGTAGATTTTATTCGTAGTATTGCTACAAACTGAAAGGAAGGTAATGCGAGGAATTGTGCGATATGATATTAAGAATTACAGAGAAATTCTTCGGTTGATAAACGTTTCAGTCGATGTTCGACTTGACTAAAATTTAAAACCATGTGAAATGAATTATTCAATGCACGATGATCACTGCAAATAATGCTAATGATTAGAGATACGCGATTTAACATCTTACATAAAGTGGCCAAAGAACCTATTTGCTTTCTGTCGAATGCTGCTCGAAAAATCTCACTCACTAAGCAATAGCTAAGGATGAGCATGAAAACGATAAATTGACAAGAGGAGGAATGGTAATTACGCTGAATTCACATAGATATTAACTGCATCAATGCAAGTTCATTCGTTGACAGATAGCTAATTAGATCAACGATAACGAAAAGTATTCAATCGATGCATCAGCAAAAGAAAAAGTAATGTAGCTGTTGCTTCCATTTGAAAATGATCGACATTAGAAATGTAGCGACGTAAAACAAGTGGGAGGGCTACGAAATGTTTTGAGAGCAAAACAATTGTACGCAATTTTCTAAAACGGAAGAAGTCCTGAGCAATGTACTTCCGTGTCATAAACTGTTTCTAATTAAACAAATACAATTTTCGTCGAAAAAAGTGCAACTTTTCTGCATATAGAAGAAGGTTACGCAACTCGTAGCCTGACGGCTACATCCGTGATCAATATTGTATAGGAAAATGGCACTTCACTTTTCGGTGAAATACATTCGGTCAATAGCGATGTTTAATTTTCATGTACTTTCTATCGGCGAATATTATTATTCATTTGGCTCACAAAACAAATATTTCATTGTCATGGTCGGAAGTTCATGTCTTTGCTCATGTATAAAAGACCTTCCATAGTTGCTTTAAATCCTCATCATTTTGTAAACGAGCTAATTCGTATCTTCGTAATCGAAACAAATTAAAACGACAATGCATTCGTCTCTCGTTGCTGTTCTCATCTTAGTACTTATGATTGCGGCTAAATGCCAGGTAAATTTGTACCATCATCCAATATTTTGATATTTTAAACATTTTTTCAATATTGTTAGGCTGGTACAGTTTCATGTGTCCAATCGGCCGCCATTTTGGAATGTCCATCCATTAAATGTAATAAAGTCGGTCTTGCCAAAGCGGAGGTGAAATATCCATCTAATTGTTTTGTTATTGGACCCGATCATACCCTCCACACTAAATATTATCGTCTGAATATGCCCGGTGGTGGGTACGGTTATGTCAGTGCCGTGTATTGTGCAGGCAGCATCAAGCAGTTCTGTCCAGAGTCTTGAATGAAATTCGACTCTAATCTATACTGACTTCTATATTCTCTCTGCGAAATATATAATTATTTAAATAAATCCAGATTTTTTTCTTCTAATACTTGTATGTTTTGATAGACTATCCTTTGTTGAGCTGTTAGATCTTTTTGATCCATATGCACAAAAAAAATATCTTTGTCTAACTAGAACACGTCCGATACACGCTTTTTCAGATTTTGATTGTGATCCAGTCGAACTGTATTTTAATACAAGTAATCAAACATCCTCATCAAAATTGAATAGTTACTCCAAACCACAAGATAGCTTCTTTTGGTGGGCTGCATTCGGTCACTAGCGAACGCAGCAGATTCCACAGATGAAATAGATCCATAATTTTCAAACATTGTTGCAGCTGGATCCGATGAAGCAAAAAATGGCAAATCCTTATTTCTTCAGGAACACTAGAATGTCTGTTAGGTAGTGGCGCTATCTTGCATCTACTACCTCTCTTTTCTTCTCTCTTCTATATGTTCTCTTGATCGGTCATCTGTATGAACCGGTCAAGACAAGTCTAACTTATTGTTGTAGGTTTTCTCTCGAGGATATAATAAACTAGGAAGTGTTAGGCCTACATCCTAACAATGTCAAATCCGCTATCATTTATACCATAGAAAGCTGAAGTAGAAATTTAAATCTTAATAAGAGCTCGACTTCGGTACCTGCTCGTGTTTGTTACAGAATTTGTATTGACTATTCGGTATGTGAGCACACACACGCAAGCAGTAAAAATTAGTGAAATTTCAGTGGGCCAGCATAATGTTTTGTTCCGGATGCCATACAAGTAGCCTGAGATGCGATCGGTTAAGGTTTTTTGTTAACCGAACCGAACCAAGCCGACCCGATTTTTATTTTCAAAACTTTTAACCGAGCCGAGCCGAGCCGAACCGAATTGGCATCTAACCGATCCCAACCGAAAAATTTACGCAGTTCTCAAATTTCTTTAATTCGAGAATTTATAGGTCCAATGGACGAATAACAAACCTAAATTTATGTTTAGAGCACCATCTGTTTGCACTTATTGTTTTGTTTCATCATTCTTCTCTTTTAAACAGCGCAAAGCGAAAAAAATATAAGGCAACGGTTAAAAAAGCTTCGGACCAAGCCGAATCGAACCGAACAAGAAAATAATTTAACCGAACCGATTTCGGTTCAGTCGGGTAGGGTAGGGTAGAAATCGACTTTAGTCGCATCTCTGCTACTAGCTGATCGAATCAATGATGAATCACAGTCTTGTTTGAGTGTGTGACAAATAAATTTTGAAAAATATCAACATGGAACAAAAAAATGTGATCTTAGTTTTTTCTAATTTGTCGTCTCTTATGCTCAGCGATCTCTACTATTGTCTTGACACTGTCGGTATCTTCAAGAATTCCGGCTCTCATACTTTGTGCTACTGTTTATAAGTCACACGCAGGTCTTTGATTATGTTCTTAAAAATTATATTTTTTTGCTACTGTCAACGATTTGGTTTCTGTAAACATAGTTTTTATTGCTGATGATATTATTAATGAACTTGAATTTTATTTTTCTATACTACTGAAGCAAAAAATTGTAAAAAAGCTTTCAAACGCTCATAAAAAAATTACATGTTTCTCCAACTTTATGTTTTCTTAGATGGTACACTGGAAATAAACTATTTATATTCTGTTACTCAAGAAAACTCTATACAAGGAGAGCTTTATTAGAAAATGTGCTAAATCATACCAATTACGATTGATAACAATCTCTTGTAGGAATAGTTTCTTACAGGATAATTTTGCTTTTTCATAGAGCACTATTATTTTATGCAATTAAATAGAAAAAGAATTGACTATTTTAGTTTTTGCCATAACCTTCAATGTCAGCTATTTGTGTTGGCTATTCATTATACAACTTTGAAATTGTGTATTTTTTTTGCTAAAGAAGATTATCAATCACCGTGATCAGAATAGTTATTCTTGCCAAAATATGACAATGCGCCACTAGATCATCATTCATAACAGATAATTTTTGTGTAATTAATGCATGATCATTAACATAGGACTGTTTGTTTTTGAAAAAAGGAAAATAGTCGAGTTTGATCATCAAAGATATAGTTTTTCACATACCACATCCGTAGGTCTGCTACGAGAATTTGATATTATTCACAGACATACAGTTTTGAGCTTTAGAGAAGCTGATAAAGTATTATTTAAGAGAAGATCAAAAAAATATAATTATGGAAACTAAAAGCATAAAAGCTGTTAGCGCAATCCCTTCGAGATTTAAATGTGAAACACGACGTAATTGTTGAGGTGTATCATAGTCATTGCTCCACCTCTCTATTCTCCCTGCATTTCTAATACCGTTTGTGATGGATCCAAAGCTTTTCTCTCAAGGTCTGTGAAGATTAATTCACCAATTAGACTGTAATTAGCTAATTAATTAAAATGTTTTGGAAGGAATTCAAATTCTAGTCTTAACCCTTGAACTCTGCTTCACCGGTCTCGTACGGTCTGTGATGGGGGAATTACCTGTCGGTAACGGTCTGTGATGGGGAAATTATCTGTCGGTAACGGTCTGTGGGTGGGGGTGGATGCAAATTTCTATCCTAAACACTTCAACACTCCTTTCAGGTCGTGTTTCACAAAAATAAACTGTCAGAGACGTCTCTTGATCGATCTTTTACGTCTTGTATTCAACGGCTGCGAAGAAGGAGTCTTTTATTTTATCGGAGACTTCAGTAATTTTTTTTATCAAAAAGTATACCCTTGCAGAAAAAATCTCAAAGAACCAAACTATTTTAATATTGCAATTGCTCTACCTTGCTATCATATCAATCCATCTTTACGTCCAATAATATTATTTCTCAAGCTTATTGATAGAGAAAGAAGACTGGAAAGACCATGTTCATAACTATACCGAAGATATGAAAAAAAATAAGCATCTTAACAGGTTCCTCTCCGCTTGGCCATATACAATATTATTCGAAGAGTATTATGATTTATCTATCACTTGTATTTCAATATGTCACGTCTTATTAATGCAAAGAAAAGAGTATACTGGAAGGAGCACGCGTCATATGAATAGTGGAAGAACAAGAATGCAAATGTTAATAGTTGGCTAAATACACGTCGACTCTATCATTTAAGTTTTATGTTATCACAGTATTACTAATGCTAAATCTTCAGCATCTAATATGCTTTTGGTGCACATTCGTTGAGTTGCAATCAATCTTTTATGATACGGATCCTTTTCAATTTGATTGTCTACACTACTATTCAATGAATTCTGGTGTTGAAGACATTGTCAAATATTGTATTCGTCCAACCGATGGTCGAAATCCAACGATGAGCACTTTTGTCGGCACGAATCATCGAAATTTTACTTTTGACGAATTGCAACGTTTGAATGTTACTTCACGTGAAGTTCTCTTATGGTCATCTTCGATCGATCTTGCTGAGCGATATCAATTTTATATTGATCAATCGACTAAATCTAGCCAATTAAATGAACTATTCTTCAATTGTACACCGCCATGGTTTGGAGTGCGTTGTCAATATTCATTTGAACTAGTGTCCAATGTTGCCGATAGGATAATAAATGTTCCATAAAAAACAGGTTGGTCTATCTATGTTGATAGAATAGATAAAAGTCAATCTGCTATTCTCAACTCTTTTTCAGCAATCGATTGTATTGTCAAGATTAAATGAATGTGCTAAAACAACAAGTTATTGTGCTTGATATCAAAAATTATTAAAGAAATGCAGAGTTTAATTTGCCGACGCGTTTCTGTTAGCATCAACAGATGGTGCTCATTGACACTAAACTTGTCACTGTGATATATTAATGATATTAATCCCCCTTTGATGTTTTCTCTTTGATCTGTCGGCCATTGACCGTCTTGTTTTCCTTTCTCTCTCTTGCTAACCAGTTCAGCTGTTGTTTATTATCCTTTTGGAGAGCCACCATCTTTATTTAATAAAACATCATTATCCTTATTATTAATGTTATTTATAATAACATTAATATACACTTAATCTGTTACCGTCCCCAATCCTTATTGCATTCTGATTATGTCCAGCAAATACGGGTAAGCCGTTTTCAAAGTGAACTCTCATTACCTGAAGGCAGATATCTTTTCCCCAAAGATATATTATAATTTAGCCTACGTGATACACGGAGGATAAAGTCATTATCGGGAGTCTCACAATTGGTGGAGAAGTTGGGCATAGTTTGTCTGCCTGTTTAGGAGAATTTTTTAATTCTTCCTTTTTTTCTAATACCTCATTTTTTCTCTCTCTTATTCGTCGTAACAGTTAATCTTTCATAATAAGGAAATAAAAGATAATATATACATATAAAAAAAAAAAAAAAATACGAGAAAAATTTCTTTTGTTGTTTTGCTTTGTTATTATGGATGTGAACGACACAGAATCGCTCATTTCTCAGTCGTTATCACTGAATTCGTTGAACTTACATACGAATTCGTCATCTTTTCTAACATCTACCAAACATCAGAATTCAACGATGATCGATTCATCAGATACTAATCGTCGAAAGGAGATTATACCAACACCAAATCGACCGATACTTAAACAACAACCCTTCATTAGAAATACAACTAATGACGAATTAGTGTCTATATCAGAACATAATTCTACTATTCACACACTTCAAGATGATACACTTACTAATAATGAACCTTGTGCTATTACAAAAGAAATAACTTCCAATACGAAATCTGATGACATGAATCGTCACACAGATCGCCAATCTCAACTAGAAATGGTTGATGAAACTCACGACTTCGACGCATTTATCAGTGAAAATTTCGTCGTATTTTCAGGAAAACAAAATGTTCATCGATGGTTAGATGAAACTGAACAAAAATTTAAAGAATTTAAAATTTCTAGAAATCTACGCTTCCAAGCAATAACTCTTCTCATCGAAGGAGAAGCAAAACGAAAGTACATCAAGGTACGAAAAGAAATTCATTCTTTTGATGACTTCTACGAATTTTTACTTTTGCATTTCGATGCAGACGAAAAGTCAGTACTAAGTACTGATAATTCTAGATTGAGACATCAGCCGACTACCTTTCATTCTACCACTTCTGTAAATTTTGGTGCCACCAATCTACTTGGTGAGTTACCTGATAAGAATCCTACGAGCAATACTAGTGACTCTTCTACTTTCGTACTTGATGAAACCATCAATGATTTACGAAAAGCAATCGTTAGTGATTTAATAAAAAATCCAAAAATATTCAAAGGTGGTAAAGATGACGTCAACAAATGGATTGATGATATCGAACATCTTTTAGATGTTGCGCATATTCCGGAGAGTAGTCGTTTAGATTTAATTTCATACTCGTTGCGAGGAGATGCTCTTCAATGGTTTAAAACCAGTAAGAGTATGTTTACTTCATGGAAAGTTTTTACCAGTGAATTAAAACGTGCTTTCACTTCCTCATTTCATGAAGAATTAGCGTTTAAAAAACTCGAATCTTATAACCAAGGTGAAAACCAATCGATTCGAAACTTTTTTAATGAAATATTAAAACTATGCAACGAAGCGGATGCCACCATGAGTGAAGCCACAAAATTGAAGAATCTGTTGAACAAAACCAAACCAACTATTCAGTTTGAAGTCCGAAAGAAGAAACCGACAACTCCTACAGAATTTCTTGAATACGCTAAAGATATTGAAGAATTATTTCAACTTTCGAATATCAATAATGAAGATATGAAAACTTCTAACGATGAAAATCACAAAGAACCATTACTACCTTCTTCAAGTACAGTACCTTTATACAATAATACATATCGAAATATTTCATCAACGACTCAATCGTCCCCGAAGTATCATAAATATAATAATTACCAGAATAGTAATAATACTTTCGTGAATCCACACAGTCGTAATAATTATCAACCACCATCACGAATACCCCCATTTTCATACAATCAATCCAGAAATATGAATCAACAGTATTCATCAAATCGTAATAATTCTTCATTTAATACCGCTAACAATAATCGAATTCGACCACAGCCAAATCAAATGAATTATTCAAACAATAATCAATCACGCTTACGGAGTGCGAATACAGTGTTTTCACTGGATCCTTCGAATAATGCTGAAGTAGAACCAGAAGAATTTTCTATTTCTTCTACACCCTGTATAAGATGTAATCAATTAGGCCACGAATCCTCGTCGTGCCAAAATTTCTAAGGAGGGAATTACCGAAAGATGGTGTTAATTCCAAAAATATTCCGAAAAATCCATCAAGGTCCCCATTAATATTCATCACTACGCTCGTCAATAATTATCAAACAAAAATTCTAATCGATACTGGAGCAACAACAACATTCATACGCGAAGATGTTTTACAACACATGGCACCTCTACAATATATTCGAAAAACTCCTTATTCATTTACCTTAGCAGATGGACTTGCACCTTTCCACGTTCTTGGGGTAGTTGAGGTATCAATTCGATTTGGAAATTCAACAACAAAAATTCATGCTCATATTGCTCGAAAATTATGTGCAACCATGATCATTGGAATGAATTATATAAATAAATATTATTTAAATATTAATGTTGCACAACAGACTATTTCCATTATACATAATAATCATGTTTCTTCTATGAATATGGATACAGATTTCGAACTACATCGAATTCCAGTTAATATATCGAAACCGATACAAATACCGCCTCGTTCAAATCGTTCCGCACAAGTTTCCATTCCAATATCGTCTATTTCTTCTCCATTTGTGCCTAGTCCTTTCGTACGGAATACATACGCTTTAAGTACGCCGTATACTTTTCTGAATTTTCAGAACTACTATTCTGATATCAAGTTATTTAATATGTCTTCACATCGCCAATACTTAAATGAAGGCACATGCATTGGATTTTTAACTTATCGTAAAAAGTCAATAATCGGTGAGAAGCCAGATAGCACCACACATAAATCATTTGAAGTCGCTGGTACTTCCGGTTTGACTTCAGCGCCAAATGATTCATGTGATATACGAGTTGTTTCTAGTAAATCATTTGGAGTTACCGGATCGACCGGTGAAACACCAGTTTTACATGATTTACTTGCAGCCCGAGTTTCAGATAAAGCGTTATCTTCTTCCGATAATTACGTCTTTCGTGATCATACTACATCGAACAGTAATAATAACAGTTTTTTTTGTAATGCTATAGACCCACGTAAACCAGTTGTTGCTGATAGTTTACGGATGTTAGTTAGTAAGATTGAGAATACACAACAACAAGAAAAACTTTATTCTTTGCTCAAACATTTTCATAAGACATTCGATACCACTAAACACAGCATAGCTCATACACGTATAGAGCATGTTATTAATACAGTACCACATTCGCCTCCAGCTAGTAGACCTTATACTCAACCGGATAAGGAGGAGGCTATGTATAAAATGATTCAGGAATTTTTACACGCTGGTCTTATTCAGGAATCACATTCCCCATATGCAGCACCGGCGATTTTAGTCAAAAAGAAAGATGATTCATATCGCTTCGTAGTTGACTACAAAAGACTAAATTCCATAACTATTAAAGATTCTTCTCCTTTACCCAATATGGAAGATGCAATTAGAAAACTAGGTCAAGGGTATAGCTATTTTTCCAAACTTGATCTTAAATCAGGTTTTTACCAAATACCCATCAACGAGGGTGATAAAGAGAAAACAGCATTCGTCACGCCGTTTGGCCTCTATCAGTTCAATGTTTTACCGATGGGTTTGAAGAATTCACCTCCAACGTTTCAAAAAGTTATGACGGACACCTTAAAAGCTTGTCGACTTTTCTCACTTGTATATCTAGATGATATAATTGTGTTTTCAAAGTCATTTTCAGAACATCTACATCATCTCGAACAGGTACTCTTAGCGTTACAAGCAAAGAATCTAGTACTTAATCCTCCTAAGTGCGAACTAGTTGCTAAACAAATCGACTATCTAGGACATAGCATTAGTCAGGATCACATAACACCAATGCAGGATAAAATAGAAGCAATACTTCAAATAAACGAACCGCGTTCCTTGGGACAGGCTAATAGATTTATCGGCGCATTGGGATGGTACCGCAAATTCATACCACACTTTGCCACAGTAGCGGCTCCCATACATGCTATTACGAATCTCACAAAAATAAATCGGCGTAAATTCCGATGGGGATTTGCTCAATCACAAGCATTTCACAAACTAAAACAAATGCTTATCACGGAACCGTTGTTCCTTCATTATCCAATACAGGATAAGCCATTGATTTTGGCCACCGATGCTAGTGGTATCGGTATTGGAGGTGTTTTACAACAAGAAGTTGGTGGGAAAATACACAATCTGTATTACCACTCACAACTCATGACGAAATGCGAACGTAAATATAGCGCTATAGAGAAAGAAGCTCTCGCTATATATAAATGTTTTGAGAGAATGCGACCTGTCTTGTTAGGTCGTAGTATCACACTCATAACAGATCACTGTCCGTTGTGTCATATCATGGAGAAAACTGTACGAAACGCTAGAGTTGATCGTATAACTCACCTCATTCAAGAATATAATATTGAAAAGGTAGTACATATTAAAGGTACTGAAAATTGCCTTCCTGATTTTCTCTCGCGATATTCGCAAGAAGAGGATGATGATCTATTTGAAGTTGAATACGGACTTGGTAGTAAAGAATATAAACCATCTCCAACCTCCTTAACTACTCAAACAGATCGAATATCTCCTTTGATGTCTACTAGTAAACAACCACGAACATTAGCTGTCATGAACTTAAGATCACGAAAAAATTTAGAAAAATCAGTATCAGCTTCCACTTCCGTGGATGATGATGTCAATACTGATGATGATCTTGATAGTAAAAATTCCAACGAATTTTCACAGCTACACGAGACAATACCTAATTTCTCCCACAACTATTTTGATCTAAATACATTAAAAGATAAACAGACAGAAGATCCCGAAATTCAACAAATAATTGAACAGATCAAAAATAAATCGCACACTTTATCTTTCGTTTTTAAAGATGATGTTTTGTATAAGTTGCAAACACCATCACGTAATTCAAAGCGAAAAATAAAAGTTATTTATCTACCATCTTCGATGGTACTTTCTCTGCTCAAAGCCTGTCACGATGACCCAATGAGTGGTGCGCACTTTGGTACCGATCGTACCTACCTAAAGATTAAAAATCAATATTGGTGGCCACATATGAGAAATTCTATACAAAAGTACATTAAGTCATGTACTTTGTGTCAGCAATATAACATCAGCCGACATAGAAAACATGGGCAATTAAGACCCATATCTCCACCAGATGGTCCTTTTTCGTTAGTCGGCATCGACTATTGCGGACCGCTAAAAAGAACTCCGCGTGATAATCAGTATGTACTTGTTATTACTGACTATTTTACACGATATACCACGGCAATAGCGTTACCTAATTGTACGGCAGAAACGACCGCTCAAGCTCTTTTTAATGAGTACTTCTGCAAATATGGTGTTCCTTGCACTATTCTTAGTGATCAGGGATCCCATTTTCAGAATCAATTAATGGCCAATATCAAGAGACTTATTGGCTATAATCACATCTATAGTACTCCTTACCACCCGCAAACCAATGGTATTGTGGAGCGTTTTAATAGTACGTTTATTCCTCAAATTGCAAAATTACAAGATGCGGAAAATAACAATTGGGATGAGTACTTACAAGCAGTTGTTTTCGCATATAATACTGGGGTACATAAAACAACTAAATATTCGCCTTTCGAGATGCTGTATGGTCGAGCACCGTATTTACCTATTAATGCACCACCAACGCATTTTACATTCATTAAACCGAATGATTACTTTGAGCAACTAAAGAAAACTTTGCGAATATACCAACAAGCTGCCAAATCTAACATCATTCAACAACAACAAATAAATAAAAATTGGTACGATCGAAACCGCCTTGATCCCCATTACCAAATAGGAAACAAAGTTCTTACAAGAATACATGGTCTAAGGGGAAAACTAGACCCCAAATTTTCAGTCACACCGAAAATTATTATTCATGTGAACCATCCAATATATATTGTTGAAGATGAGATAACTCATGTACAATCACAGGTTCATGTTTGTGATATACGACCTATTCTTATAGAATAGTCGATCTCATTCAAACACATTCTTCTCTTCCTGGTTTTCTTACTTGTTCCCTTATTTGTGCGTCTTTCTTCACAATGTATATATATATATATACTTAGAATAAGTACTAGATTCTACTCATAGATAACACAATATTTGATTATCCCCTCGCCGTACACTACTACTTTATATTGTTACTAGATTTCATTCCCTAATGGAACACACACAACATGATTCCACAAGAAACCCATATTATCCGACAAACTCTCGATCAACTACCTATAATATCGATGATCGGTTATCTGACTCTTGTAATCGACTATTGTGGTCTCCGACAATTTCGGATGACTACAGTCAAATAGCCGACGCAAGGGAAAATAACCGAACCACGATTCCAATCCTTCCGACCCAATCAAATCATTATCAACGTCTCTTAGGTCGTTCAGAACCCAACTACCCCACCCATATTAATAGTAAAAATCATACGAACTGGCCGACAACAGGTGAAACAGTTCGTCATGATCAAGAGTTATTGCTAAATCATGACTCGTTCCACGGGTTTAAATCACATTGTGACCCTCCATTCCACATACATCACCGAACACCTTCAATTCTACTCGAATCTCTCATACAAAAGATTTCTACTATACATTTATTTACTATTACCACTACATCAGATAATTCTACTTCCGATATACCAAAATCTATTCCAGTCTTGATACAAATACAAGCCATTCGTGACGAAGAGTTATCTGTTGTAATTCTAGTTGAAGTACAACATCTTCCTCATCGATCAACACCGTTATTTTCGCATCATTCTCTCTATTTGATCTATCTCATATTACGCATCATCTTAATCTTCAAACAAACTTCACTAATGAATGGAACAAAGCCCATCCACATACTTTTGAATGTATAAATCGTTATCAGTCTGTTCAAGATGACGATAAACCTGATGATTCTCTTATCTGTCTCGTCAATTCCGATGATCTAGATAACGATCTTTATCATATGGATTCAACATCGGATTTCACATCTTGTATGTGTCCGGATTCAATGCGACCATATAACAACGTCCACTCTATGTGGTCCTTGAAAATGGCTATTAGATACACCTTTCATACAACTCAAGATCAGTATACTCGAGAATCACTAATCGAATATACAATTAACGATCTTGTTGCTCTGACCAAACTATACATATATTGGTTTTGTAACAAATTTGATTTTCTTGATAGGAATTCTATGGATACATCTACTTCCACTTCGATTACCCACCATGAACATACTGCTTTACCGTTATACTTCATATTGTCGGATAGTCATGGTAAAAATTTGCAATCCACAATTACAACACCGTATTATCAAATTAAAACTCGATCAATATCAGGTCTACAATGGGTGAATACATATGACTACACCTTATGCACACAAAATGTACTTAATTCACCATCAATATCATCGATTTTATCATCCGCTACAGGGGTGTTGTTTTTAATTGGTACAAACTCGGTCCGTTCGATGCCTGCGTTACGAATAATACAACAAGTCGAAGCAATCGTGAATATGATACGTTTAAATCATCATCATATTGATCATCTCGGAAAAATTACTATCGCTGCCACCTTTCCTTGTTTGAAAGTATCCTCTTGTTTTCCAACGATTGATCTACTATTAAATAACATCAATTTGTACAATCAACAGCTAGAAATATTATCGCGTCGACTTGGGTTTTCTTTTCTCGACTTTCATATTACTCCAGAACATCTTCATCGTGATCATCTGCATTTACAACATCAATATAAAAACATTCTCCATACCACGATTGTTCAGTATTTTGATAGTATCATAGCCAAACAAATTAAGTCTCCTCAATCTCAACACCGTACTTCAACAGCTATAACACGTCGAAACAAACGACGGCACGAGAAACTTAAAGAAAAACAACAACAACACATACTTACACGTTCTCTCTCTCAATCATGGACAATCCCTGACATCAAAAACATATTAAAACATCACGCAATAAAATTCGCTCGAATATGTTCGGTCGCTAATCATAAAATTCGTATCCAATTTAACAACACCAAGGATCAACAACATGCAGATAACCTTATCTCATTGACTTTCTTCGACGACAACAACTTTGCAATTTGGCATGAACAAAAATAGTAACTTTCATTTTTTTGTTTGTTAATAAGTTGTTCGTCGATTTCTTTTTTTTGCTTTCTTGTTGTTTGTTATTTTCTTTTTTTTGTATGTTTTTGATTTCTCTCTCTCTTTCTCTCTTCTCTTCTATGTGTATGGCTATTTGGGCCTTATATAATCTTGTGATATATCATTTCTTTCGCAGCTCTTTTCTGTTGTATGTTCTCTCTCTCTCTCCTAGGTCTAGTTGATTGATCATCCAGCTTACCCAATAGGGTGGGCAGGTGTTGCGATCTTTTTCTTATCCGAAAGGGGGAGGTGTTAGCATCAACAGATGGTGCTCATTGACACTAAACTTGTCACTGTGATATATTAATGATATTAATCCCCTTTGATGTGTTCTCTTTGATCTGTCGGTCATTGGCCATCTTG